TATATATATATATATATATATATATATATATATATATATATATATATATAGTTGTAAATTTTTTGTATCACAGAAAGTATCGTATAGTTAAGAAACCATCTCTGCACGATTTATATAAGATGAAGATAGACTTTGAAAGAGAAGAACAAAACATGTTGATTTTGCGGCATCCTTACCTTACAATCGAGCAATCCCATGGTCATGCAGGAACAAAAGAAAAATCAACTAAGTTTTTCCAACAAATTTTCGAAAGAAGAAGACAGGAATACCAAAAGGATATCACTATCACAGAACGTCTATGCCATTTGAGAGTCACAGAAGCATGGGATTAGAAGCTTCTCGTAGGTATATGTAATTTTATTTCATAGATTGCTTTTTTTTAAGATTACTATAAATTAAATAGTTGTCAAACCCAAGAATGTCATAATTTTCTTTTCAACAATTTTATGTAAATTGATACAATATACTGAATATATTACATAAGCTTGATAAGATATATTGATAATGTACATCATGTACATCAATGTAAATCAAAAAGTGGAGTTAATACTGTGACATTTCAAATAACTGATTTATGTTAATATTTGTACACAATTCAAGCCTTTACATCTACTAAAAAACTATCTTGAAATCGCGTTAACGCATTCTTTGGCTTATTTCTCATCCAACCAAATGGGTCTGTATTAATTTCCTCTTCTGTTAACGTCTTTTCTTCATAAAGCAGATTTGCAAAATCTGATACAACAGGATCAGCATTAAGACTGCTCATTCCTATTACTTTACTATCAAAATCTATAGTTTACGTCACGTATACTATAGGTTTTCAATACTGGCAGTGAATATCTGAACGCAGCCTATGTGTGGGGCTGTGGGACACAGTGACATAACCTTTATTAAGTACGTGTGATTTATTTAAAGATACATAGCATCTGATTTACAATGCGGCTTGGATTAATTCTATTTCATATTGCTAAACCTAAAATGCCATATAGATATAGAGGGTGAGTTCTTGTACACAAAAAGTAATCTTGCGTTTTATTTAACGAAAATTATTTTATGGATCGCACCGTTTGTAATGTATTGCTAATATTCTCAAGTTACATGGATATATATATATAAGCATGGGATTAGAAGCTTCTCGTAGGTATATGTAATTTTATTTCATAGATTGCTTTTTTTTAAGATTACTATAAATTAAATAGTTGTCAAACCCAAGAATGTCATAATTTTCTTTTCAACAATTTTATGTAAATTGATACAATATACTGAATATATTACATAAGCTTGATAAGATATATTGATAATGTACATCATGTACATCAATGTAAATCAAAAAGTGGAGTTAATACTGTGACATTTCAAATAACTGATTTATGTTAATATTTGTACACAATTCAAGCCTTTACATCTACTAAAAAACTATCTTGAAATCGCGTTAACGCATTCTTTGGCTTATTTCTCATCCAACCAAATGGGTCTGTATTAATTTCCTCTTCTGTTAACGTCTTTTCTTCATAAAGCAGATTTGCAAAATCTGATACAACAGGATCAGCATTAAGACTGCTCATTCCTATTACTTTACTATCTTTAAGATAATAAGCAAAGAATTCCAATTTATCCAATGAGCCATGAATTTTTATGCTAGTAGGTTTTCCATGACCTGATAAAAAAAGTAGAAAAACTTTTTGAGTTGGATTGCTAATGATCATTAACATTAGGAATTATTTCATTAATAATTATTATATTTTTGCAAAAATTTGTATTTGTATGTTATAAAAATTACCTGCGTATCTATAATTTCTGCCCAGTAAATTGGTCCAAAAGAACGGTATTGTCTTCAAAGGAGTTTCTTTACCACATATGTTTTGAGCTGCAACTTTGCCATGATAATGGGCTAAAGAATAATGACCTATTGCAGCCAATGTGTCATCGGATCCATATATTGGTGCATAAGCTATATCACCTCCAGCATATACATTTTCTATATTCGTTTTTAGATGCTGTAATTTAATGAATATTAATTATCAATTATCAAAATGTGAATAGATAAAACAATATGTATTGCCTAAAAGTTGTACCTTATTTACTATTATAGTGCCATCGTTCCTCATTTTAAGAACTGATTCTTTCAGCCAATCTGTGTAAAAAGTAGAGCCTATTCCAACAATAACTATATCCGCTGGTAAAATCTGACCATCCGTAAGTTCGACTTTACCCAAAACATTTTCTTCATCTTCCTTTGGAATAAATTGCTTGATATTGTTTTGAAAGATAAACTTTACTCCTGATTAAAAAATTTATTATTAATTATACAAATTTGTATAATTCATAATGCTATGCGTAACAACTTTGTATAATACCTTTTGCTTCATGCTCTTTTCTAATTCTATCACCAATGTCCGTGCCGAATATCGCTTTAAGAGGCACAGTATCGCGTCCTATTACCGTAATAGATGCACATTTGTTGATACAATAAGCTGCCGCTTCCATGCCGATGAAGCCTAATCCCAATACAACTACATGTTTTTCGGGAGAAAGCTGTGAATATACACCTTGTGAATCAGTATAATCTCGCAGCACAAAAATGTTGGACAAATTACTTCCAGGTATATTTGGCATTCTCGGTTTACTGCCTGTGCATATGAATAGGTCATTATACTTTAAGTTCTCATTGTCACTCAGTTTAACAATATTTTGAGTTGTATCTAGCCCTAGAGAAAAATAAAAGTAATTATGTTATAATGGAATGTAAAGCTTATAATATGTAACTGAACTATATACATGTATCGAATAGAACTTAATTTATACCTATAGCTTCTACACCAAGTTTTCTTTCAATTTCGTGTTCATCATAAAACTCAGGAGGCCGTAATGCTGCTTTCTGAACGTCGAAATCTAATACTTTGGATACTTTTATTCGGTCATAGGGTACGACATTCTCTCTGCATATCATAATAATGCGTCCTGTAAAACCTTCTTGTCGCAGACTTTCTGCACAGGTTGCACCCGCCGGTCCTCCACCGACTATAACGACTGTTTTTATATTTTCAGGATCACGTGCAGACATGTCCTTCACACGTTTATTAGTATCCAGATCTTTACGTTTGGCTTTTACGTGTACAAGACCGGCTTCATCTATGCGAATCTATAAAATACAGAGAAATAGATAAATAAGCAGAAATATAAAACAGAATTTTAAAAAATTTATAAACTATTCAAATACCTTGTAGCATGGTAAAGAATCCAAGCCTGGATAATCTTCAATATCTCCAGTTTTAATATTAAAGCATGCCCCATGCCATGGACATCTCACTCGTCCTTCTCCTAATGCACCAGTATGTAGCAGAGCTCCATAATGTGTACATTTGTTACCAATTGCATGCAATTCTCCTTTTTGTTTTATTAACAAAATTTTGCTTTCATTATCTCCAAGCGGTAGTAATTTCATTTCATTTTCGTTGATATCTTCCTGGTTGCACACCACACCTTCGATATAGTCATGCTGTTCTTGAGAACCTGATATGTGAGAATAAGATAAATTAATTTGTAGTTTACTTTACATATTTTATCAGACCTTCAAAGCAAAACGGGTGACTCACAAGTGCAATAAAATGGTAATATATTATGTTTCTGTATGATATTTCCTGTTATATTACGTTCATTATAATTTCCTTTCTCTCTAATTTTATTTAATATATTCAAACATATATATTCTAATAAAATATTAAACTTTATAAAATTTCATAATCATAATCTATCTGTATATATGAAATATTAGTGAAATGTATCGAATGTGAGAATATAAAAGTAAATATAAAAGTTGGATATTTTTAAATAATTCTATATCTAAGCAAGAAATTCAAATTTTTTACGTCTTCATAACAGCCTCAAAACAGTAGAATACTTATGGTAAAATCATTTATAAATTTGAAAAGAACGCTACCTTTAATTAATCGGGCGACTGAATATCTCCATATCAAAACAAGATATTTCGTCAATAATATATATAATAAATAACTCGCATTGATTATATTGCGTAGCATACAGTTGAATACGACAAATATGTAAAGAAATCTAAAGAAACCGCAATGGGAATTTCCCAAGTTACTATTATCTCATACGTGGAAAGTTGCACTATCCGATAGGTTATCGGTTATCGGCGATTTAATGAATAACGATTCCGTGATACTATTTGGTCGAGAGTTTCCTCAAGATGCAATGTAACGATCGAATAAAATAGCACAGCACGTTGGAGATAGTGCTTTGCGTGATCTGCTTGTACATTACATTATAATAATGACAATTCGTGCGCCGCGCACGTGACACAGATCCATATAAATGTGTATAACATACACTATATGTCGCGTGCAAAAAAAAGTGAATCTTTCAATATGTATGTGAGGATAGCCTTTTGGATAAGCAAATTCGCAGAGATTTCATTAGTGTTGTAAATTACATGGAAATATAATTGTTCTTTCTTTTTTACAAATTTGCACATTTTTATTATTGGAATTATTTTGATGTGATAGTGATAATAGTTCGTAATTTTTAATATACATACTCTTCAACCGCATGATTATTTATCGGTAACATAAAGAAACATATGAATAAAAATGCAGTAAATATTAGCAGAAAATCAAAGCAAGAGTGTATTCTACAATCGCTGAAACGAATAACTTTTGCTTTTGTTACAAAATATATATTCGCTTTGTTATTTTTCTATTTTATATTATATTAGACAGAATGGCCTATCGTTAATGACTTATTGTATTAGTCATATAAATGTCTACACAAATGATATACAATTCATGCTTTTTATTGTTCTCTCTTTTTCGTATCTTTCGTAAATATTATAACCTCTTAAAGAAGTACAAATGTTTTATTTTAGCTATAAGCGGCACTTTTGATGTTATTATACAGTACAACCGGTATATGATACGATTAATAAGATTAAAAGCATTGCCCTATTCCGTGTATCTATTTTGTTTGATTTGTATGTCCAAATATTGCGAAAGCCTACTTAGGAAACGACGCAAGAATGACATATCCACGAAGGAGGCCCACCTCCTAAGTGCAAGCGTCCTGACACACTGCATCGCAAAGCACTAGAAACTATCAGCTGTCTAGCTGTCAGCTGTCAGTACGATTCGATCGTGCGTTTCATACTAAATAATAGCTAATGTATGTATCTTTTTTCACGAACTATATATACTAATCACTGTATTATATGTAATTTCTCGTCGTTAATTGAACGATTCTGTACAACAATATTCCGATCCATGTTTTCCACAAGAAATTTATATGAAAAAATTAAAAACATTAAATTTAATAAAGATTTATTTTTACAGGTTCTTAAAAAAATTCGAATCGAATAATCTTTTGCGATCGCGCACGTCATTAAAATTAATCGAAAACAATTATCAAAGTAGTTTTAACAAAGCGATGTACGGTATAATATCATTGCCAGTTATAACAATAAGAGATGAAGATATGAGAAATTGTTTCGCCCCAATTTTTTTTTAATTCTCTCGTTTTCCTTATAATTGATTTTTGTACGAGATACGCACCTGTTGCAGTGGATTCATTGTGATTAGGTTTCCTTATTCGGAATCCTTTGCAATGACCCGAGCCCATATTTTTGCGAACAAATCACTAGCCGAAAACTGATTGTGAGAGGAGAGAGAGAGCGCGTTGTGTATTTACCAGTCGACCGCGATCATCTGTCTATCTTGAGTATTCTCGTGATCCTACGTACAATAAAAGTACTATAGGAGAGCGGGCAGACCTTGAGATATTCGTCGTTTGAGATGGCGACGTTTAGATTTTCTTAAGGAAGCTTTCACATTGTAATCGATACATGCTTACCGTACCGTATCACGCGGGTCCTTTCCGCTAATTTTTTCTTCCGACAAAATCGAATGGCACGGTTTTCTTAATTAATGCGCGCGATAACGGAAGGACTGATCTCAGCGAAATTCCACCTCGATTCTAAAAGTTCCAAGGAACCGCAATGAACGTGATAAGATATCGTGACTCATTCGATTATGACACACATTCTTGCCACAAGAGAGACATATAAAGAATATATCTTACGTGAGCGAAATTATTTATTATTAAGAAATCGCGCGAATAAATCTGATCGTGAGGATTATTTGTTAAAAGAAAGGATTCACGTGAATTTTGATATTTTTACAGATCGTACACATTTTTCAGAAATCTATTTTGCGATATATTTTATTTTCGAGGAAATGTATGAATATATAATGGGAGAATTTTTGGAGATTATTATTAAAACATTATCTTTAAAGAGCCCGATGTGATCTATCTCTATCTCATGAAAGTTTTTCACGTGTATATCACACTTTTATAGGTAATTAAAGTAAAAATAGAGCATCGTGAGGATTATTAAGGCTAGTAATCTTATGACATTTTGGCAGCAAAATTAAAGATATTAATTTTTTTATTGAAGATGTACATATTGTTATACAGAAAAAGTGTAGTTTACGTGCATTATCGCCATCTGAAAGCAAATCTTGCGACTATAATAAGAACTGCGATCGATAACAAGAAAAATGTAGATAATTACTCGTGTGCTTTGAAAGTGATCGGTAATTAATATTGCAGTTATATTAAAACTCACCAGATGTCACGCGAATCCACTTTCTTGTGGTTCTTTCAATGTTCCTATATTCAGTTCTGTTATGGCGATGAGATGGGATCTTACCTTATTCGAGCAGTGCCGATTCAAATCGTAGAAGGATCTGTGTATACATATTACAATTTTCTCTATCTTAAGGTAAACTATCCTTATTACATTCTTATTTTATTGTATTTATATCGACGCTTTTTTTTTAAACGATAAATGAGATATATAAAAGCCGATATAAAATTGTAAGGCTACTTGGAGGCAATTTTATTCGTAGTTAATGGACTTGTGATTTCTTGTCGATATTTCATGAGATGAAGTAGTAGTTTTAAACGCGCTTTGAAAGTATTGAACTAAATACGATCGAAATCGGGGGAAAAAAAAAACCCTAAACTTGAAAAGCTTTTCAATATCTGCGACAAAGATTTGAAATTATCATTTCGCACTTCAAAGCGTTTCGGACTATTCCCGTAGGTGTTTCCCGCGTTTCTCTGTACAAGAAAAAAAGCAGTTGCATCGTAAATGAAGAGATTGTCTCGCTTCTTTTCCTTCCGATTCGCCGCGAAACGTTTCAATCTCCTGCCAATAACACACTTGATCTTTCACGCGAACTCGGGTAAAAAGAGAGAGACAGAGAAAGAGCGAGAGAGAGAGAGAGGGAGAATGGAAAAGGAAAAAATAAAAACCGCGCAACTCGAGACTCGTGCGATTTAAATTAGTAGCCCTTAGAGAACCTTCAAAAGAGAAATTCGGTCCAACGATGCATGAAAAACAGAGCAGCCGACACCCGGTGTAGGGGTAAACGGCTACGTGCACTGCACGGATATTTAATTTGTGCCTGGCGGCGGCGGTGGTGGCGAAGCGTCAGTGACGGAGAGGGAAGAAAGGGAGATGGGACGGGCGGGAGGCCGGGGGGGGGGGGGGGGGCGGGAGATGGCGTAAGGTTACGCGGGAGCCTCTCGCTCTTTGAGGTCGGTGGTTGATGGCGGTCGGTTACCCCGCTCTCCGCGCCCCCATTCGATGATGTGGCTCGGTGTACATACGCATTGAAGGCTGCCGTGGAACGTAACCTCGCGAGCGGGAAGGAGAGAACAGGGGGCCATGGGAGGAGAGCTCGGTGGAAAGAGACGGTGTGTAAGGTCTGTGATGATGGTCTCGCGTGCAAGAGGCGGCTTAAACCGAATCAATCAGGTAACTGTACATCACTACGTTTTATATCCCTTGGGAAAGATCGTGCGCTTTCTTTATTCGTGCTTCGCGCGTAACGCTATTTGGTTAACCGTCGAATATATGCGCGAGATAATTATTTCTATCGATATATTTATTAGAAAATTACTTTTGTAAAGTAATTTTATGTGATAAATATTCTAGGAATTCACGCTTCATATTCGTGCTTATTATGTATTTGAATTTTGCTATAATTATAGCTATATTCGAGTTTTCAGTGAATTACGACGTTGCTTGGTCAGCCATTAGATTTCAGTGAAACATAACGATCTTTGATCAGACATCGCGCCTTTCCTCCTATTTCTCATTTAAAAAGATTCACGTATTCTTTTACAAAACACGTTTATAAAAAATTACAATCAATATATGTATATTATAAAATAAGAAACCTTTTTTTCTATTGTTTATTATTATTCTAACGAAAAATAGAAAAAGATTTAGACGAAATTGATGACAACTATATTATAGAGATTTTCCGCTATTGTGTCGCGCTGTGGATACTAGGGGAGAAATCCCCAACTTCATATTTCATTTTCACCGAATAGCCGGCGAAATTGCAGCGTGATACGGGCATTAGGGTTACGTGTGCAATTTCTCCCTATATCCGTGTCTTCGTGTCGAGGTATACGTTTGTCGTTAGTACATGGGCCGCAGCTTGGCGCGGGTGAAGGGAACGACGACGCCGAGCGTGCACCGAGGGTCGCCGAATACCGTCGAGCGCGTCCGAGGAAGGTCGAGTCGCGGGCCGAGGTGAACTTAGCGCGCAGCTCGAAGGAGCCCGGTTTAGTCTATCTCCAAGCGCTGGACGCGGCGGGTGCCGAGAGGGGTTTGCGACGCTCGAGGCAAAGGGTTGCGTGCGCGGTTGTAATCGTCTCGCTCCTGCCCGTCTTCCCCTCTCCCTCACACACGTTTAACCGCCCTTTCCGGGCTCTCACTCGTTACCCTACTCGCACTTGTCCGACTTTACGCGCTCACCTATGTTTATATTGATACACAGCCGGAAGCCGGACAGGTGAATCGTCCTCTTCTCGATGACGATGAAACGGGAGTGGTAGATCTATCCCACCTTGCCATCTACTCTTGTCTTACCTTATCCATCTACCTACCTGCTTACACTGATCTCTCACGAATTTCCCAAGGAATTCGATGACGATGTCACCGGCAAGGATGGATGCAAAACCGCGGAGGAGACAGTTTGCCAGTCATCGGCCGTACTCGATTCGGTCAGCCCACCACGTGGATCGTGGTCTCGTGCTCTCGCTGACACCATTCACGCTCGTCCTCATCCTCGCCTTCGGTAAGTCGCACCTAACTACATATAAAGATGAATATCCGCGAATTCCGAATCCATCGCTAGTAATGTTATTATTGCGATTATATGCTAATTATTAGAAAAGTAAAACAAAAGTTGCAACGATAAGAGTTCTGAAAGTATTTTACATCTTATCGTAGATGGAGGTCTTTTTAGAAATTTTCTTTTTTTTTTAAAATATATAAATAAAGATTTCAGTGAAACATAACGATCTTTGATCAGACATCGCGCCTTTCCTCCTATTTCTCATTTAAAAAGATTCACGTATTCTTTTACAAAACACGTTTATAAAAAATTACAATCAATATATGTATATTATAAAATAAGAAACCTTTTTTTCTATTGTTTATTATTATTCTAACGAAAAATAGAAAAAGATTTAGACGAAATTGATGACAACTATATTATAGAGATTTTCCGCTATTGTGTCGCGCTGTGGATACTAGGGGAGAAATCCCCAACTTCATATTTCATTTCCACCGAATAGCCGGCGAAATTGCAGCGTGATACGGGCATTAGGGTTACGTGTGCAATTTCTCCCTATATCCGTGTCTTCGTGTCGAGGTATACGTTTGTCGTTAGTACATGGGCCGCAGCTTGGCGCGGGTGAAGGGAACGACGACGCCGAGCGTGCACCGAGGGTGGCCGAATACCGTCGAGCGCGTCCGAGGAAGGTCGAGTCGCGGGCCGAGGTGAACTTAGCGCGCAGCTCGAAGGAGCCCGGTTTAGTCTATCTCCAAGCGCTGGACGCGGCGGGTGCCGAGAGGGGTTTGCGACGCTCGAGGCAAAGGGTTGCGTGCGCGGTTGTAATCGTCTCGCTCCTGCCCGTCTTCCCCTCTCCCTCACACACGTTTAACCGCCCTTTCCGGGCTCTCACTCGTTACCCTACTCGCACTTGTCCGACTTTACGCGCTCACCTATGTTTATATTGATACACAGCCGGAAGCCGGACAGGTGAATCGTCCTCTTCTCGATGACGATGAAACGGGAGTGGTAGATCTATCCCACCTTGCCATCTACTCTTGTCTTACCTTATCCATCTACCTACCTGCTTACACTGATCTCTCACGAATTTCCCAAGGAATTCGATGACGATGTCACCGGCAAGGATGGATGCAAAACCGCGGAGGAGACAGTTTGCCAGTCATCGGCCGTACTCGATTCGGTCAGCCCACCACGTGGATCGTGGTCTCGTGCTCTCGCTGACACCATTCACGCTCGTCCTCATCCTCGCCTTCGGTAAGTCGCACCTAACTACATATAAAGATGAATATCCGCGAATTCCGAATCCATCGCTAGTAATGTTATTATTGCGATTATATGCTAATTATTAGAAAAGTAAAACAAAAGTTGCAACGATAAGAGTTCTGAAAGTATTTTACATCTTATCGTAGATGGAGGTCTTTTTAGAAATTTTCTTTTTTTTTTAAAATATATAAATAAATAAATAAAAAGAATATTTTTTGTATAGATTTCTTACTTTTTTTCTGATATATAAAAAAATACGTATTTTATATATATATTTTTTGAATGTCTCTTGAAAGATTAGAAAAAAACCATGTAAAACGTAGAATTAATTCTTCAGTTATATGAATGATCAAGTCAATTATTTTTGAAAACTACAGTTATAATGTCTCATTATTATATAAAATGGAATTGTATTATTTTGAGAGTTGAAACTATATGCTGCATAGCGTTGAATTACTGAGATTCGTAATTCGCGGTAAATTTATGAGATATATTCCGGAGATACAATTTAATAAAACATAGATACAGAAAGAGAGAGATAGAGATAGAGAAAGAGAACGCAGCAGTTTCTCACATTTCAAAGCTATATTGCTTCTTACAATATATAACTGTAACTTATCGGTCCAATGCAATTACTTTTTGAAAAATAAGTAAAAATCTGTTTTTTATTTAACACAAAATATTCGTATATTTCTATTTTGAGTGTATGTATATATTGTTGTTATTATATATATTTCTACAACAATTAACTCGCACAGTCCTCTTTTTTTTTTTTTACGTTGAAATTGCGATACGTGTTAATTTACTATCGGATAGAGTTTCGCAAAATACATATAGAAATCGATGCAGCGGAACATCCGCGGAATTCAATTTTGCCAGAAATATCTTGTTGTATGAAACCAGATATTGATCTTACGGAGCGGAAGATAGCCGCCGGTGTTAGCGAACGCGTAAACTGAGTCGCAATGTCGTTTAACAAAGTGGAAACGACAATATTCACGTTCAGGGATAATCGCGTCTTGCAATGTAACGCGAGAATCGCGAACCGCGAGAGCGTCGAGATCGACGGAAAGAGAAAGAGGGGGAGAGGAAAAGGGTACCGCAACGAAATCTATTTCCGCCATTTCCCGCTGCTATTGAAACTCAATGTTGTCTGGATTGCAGAGTCAGAATATCAAGTGTCTTATTACGCGCATCATTGATCGCGAAATTCGCGCTTCTAACAATGTTATCTCAATAAAATTGTGAGAATTACGCGCAAATATATTTTAATTATTGCGTTACAGTTGAAAATTTTGAGATAAATACGTCGATGTCGCATTTATCGGTAATTTAATTGTTTTGTGTTTCTCCGTAAATGCGAAACAACATTGTTGGCGAGCTAATCGCCTTTTCTATAATGCTGATTGCCTCGCGCGTCTTTGCCATGACGCAAGACTAATTTACCATCGATCCGATTAAGAGGTAAGTTAGTTGGCAGGGGGGGGGGAGAGAGCAAAGAGTACTTCGGAAATGCATCAGCTATGGAGAGTAGTGTCTAATGGCACTAATCGGTCAAGTGCCTTTAGTCCGGGGGTAATCATTGGCAGGCAGCGAATAATCAATTATGTTAGCGGGAATATTGCGTGTTACAACGATTTCACGCGCGCGTATTTTCGTAAGTTATCGTCTTTAACTTAAATATTTGAAAATATTTCAGAAACTACGCGATCGTTGATTGCTCGGGCGCTTTTTGTCAATATCAATTTTTTCAAACGGAGAGAAATTTTTATCTCTTGGTAGAGACATACACACGGAAGGAAAGACTGTCATGTACAGCGCATACATATACATATATGTATATATCGTATCTTGCGCAGTGAACTGCGCCAGAAAATTTATGCCGCGTTAAATTTATATATTATATACATACATATACACACACATATCCTGGAAGCGCTCCTTGTCGAGTTATACGTTCTATCTGCGAGTTACACATAGGTATCGCGAATTTTCGAAATTCCTCGCAATGATCAGTTTCCGTCAAATATTTTGCAAATCATACGCATTCCGCGATAAAAGTACGAAACTTTTCTACATCGTTTCATCAAAGTCTTGAAATATCTATTATTATTATCTATCGACATTTAAAAAATTAGAATTTTTTAATATAGAAAAAAATATAAGAATAAAACGACAAGGAAAAAGTTTAGGATCGATACGAAGCCGAGGAAGTAATAAGGAATGCGAAAAAATCTCCCGGATTGCGTCCCATCGAAATGGTTCAATCTTCTATAATTCACTTTTCCTTTTTTGACGCGCTGGTTTATCCTTATCGGGAACACAATATCGCATAAATCAAAGTGTTTATTCAATAGCGACGTAGAATATGCGAGGGAGGAGTTTGTTGTGTAGAGTAAACTTGCTAATAATCTACGATCGCTTCACTTTTCCGACTCGTACTTAATAAATATTTCAAAATACACTTTTATCCTTTTTCCGTCTTTTTCGAGATATCCGAACGCGAAAAGTCTCGAGGTCAACTCCTCCGAGGGCTTATCTTTTTAAACCCGACTTCGACATTATTCGGAATTACGACGTTCTTTCTCCGGAGAGGCAAATAATAGGATTTCGATGTTTGAGAAATCTTTTCGAAAATGATTGCTCTCCTCATCGCGAACAGATACATGATTCAAACTATATCAAAGTGATACAAAGGATCTTTTTGCGAGGAGGAATTCCCCGACGAAGTTTAATCCACCAATCTGTGAATAAGCTCGAAAGCTGCGTTTAGTTTCTTGGAAACTTTTACATAACGTACATTAAATTAGCTCCTGCGCGGATAAGATTATATAAGCTATATCGACAAAGGTGCAGCCGGCTTTCTTCCCCCTTCCCCCCTTTCCCCCTCATCCTCCCTTACCTTCATCTCGTCACTTTGCTGGCAAGAAAGATAATTCGACACAGTGTTTAATTAGAACGTGTAAATTAATGGTGTACTCCCTACACGCGTAGTCCGCGAATGTTCGACCATCATCCATTCAACCGCTGAGTAATCCTTTGGACCACAATGGATCCACGACATGGAATGCGCCAAACCGTTCGCTTACACGGGTCAATTTATCGCTTCCCTCGGATGGCAAGACAAGACATTGGATGCCGTAAACGTCTGTCCGTAACGGCGCAATAATTTTAAATCTCTGAGTCACAGTGTCATGGCATTCCATAGTCGGATTCCATCGTGGATTGAAAAATTGTCTAAAAATTCCTTTATTAAGCAGATCAAATTTTTTTATCTGCTTAATTATTTTTTTACCTTGCTTAATTATTTTTAATCCAACAATCATTGCTCTAGCATAATAATCGTCTAATAAATGATCAATTATGATGATCATTGATGAAGTCTGCAAAAATTATTAATTATTAACAATTATTAACACAGATATACATATGAATTTAAAAAGGTTTCAAGATTCTCAAAATATTTTCTGTATTTTTCTTGATGCATCGTGCAAAAGAATCAAGATTGCAAAATATAGAAAACAGTTTTGTAAATATTGAAGCTTTTTTTTAGACGAACGTATATGTGTGATTGAAAATTAGCTAATTCCAAAATATGTATTTTTTATTTTGATTGCAATAATTCGATTCAAAAATAAAGGGCAATGAATAATAATGATCAGGTTTGTCGATCGCATAAGCCGGTTTTTTAAGAAACCAAAACATCGCATGTCATCTCGAGGGGAATGGTTAGTCGCTGCGCGTGGTCAGTCCCGTTTCATTTCTCTCTTCCTATTAATCGGAAAAGTATACAAAGACCGGCGCACATGGCCGCCTGTTGAATTTGCTTCGGTATAGCTGTCGATACGCGCTGCGTGATGCTGCGGAGCGTAACGGTGGAATTGAAAATAACGCTATCGGAACATGACGGTATCTAATCGGAAAGCAATTATGAGCCGTTGGAGTTAAGCTAGGGTATGCCATATATGCCATAGTCATTCTAGTTATAGCCGACGTCATTCTTCGTACCCCACTCTCGTGGCCACTGGCCTCGATTTAAACTAAACTCGTTCAATAAAATAGAACGCACGAAGCGATGAAGACCCTCGCACTGGCAGCCGATTTAATTAAATTTCGCGTTCGATGAACTTTTTAGCATTCGATTTCGAACTTTTAATTCCATTTTAAATATTTGTATCGAAAAAAATATATTTAGCTACGTGCGCGAAAAAATTTCATGTGCATAATAAAAATATATACATATGGTATATTACAAGATTAATAGACGATTTGTGAAAGCATAGAATAATTTTTTATATCAAAGATTTTATCTGCTTGTATTTCTGAGAAATGTTTCTATTTCTGCGAGTGTTGCAAACTCTAATACGTACTACGCAGAGAATTACAAAAAAAAAGAGAAAGATCAGAAGATAAAAGAACAAGAGAAAGGAAAAGACGTAAAGTCATGGTATGCGTTTCTACGATATAAAAATATCTTCCACTTTTTTTTCTCACTGACGCTGGAAGCGCTCTACTGTCATCGGCAGTATTTAGTTTAGGGATAGCGGGGGATACGAGAGTTCCGGAATAAAGACGGAGTAGAGGGAGTAGATGGAGGCTAGATAAAGAAGGAGCTCGGTGAAGCTCTGGCCGGGAAAGGAGACGCGAAGAGAGAATGAATGGGCGGAGAAGAAGGAGCGGCGAACTTATAGAGGAGCTTGCAAACGCTCGTCGACTTCGGGTCACCGCCGTCATACCACCACAATACAACCCTATCAACCGCTGCTGAAACCACTCTGCAGCACCTCGCCGTTTCATTCTTTTGCATCCAACCCCTCCCTCTCTCCCCTTTCCGCTCCCACCCTATCCGCGCCATCGCGACTTCGACCCGTTGCTCGTTTCAACGCTCGTTTCCAGCAGAACCTCTCGTTTCTCCATCTTTTCGCCGGTGCACCGCGGCCTATAACGAGTGGCGTACCTCATCCAAGGCGTTACGCTTCTACTCTTTTCTT